AAGTGACTGTATAGCCTCTTCTTAAAAATCTCCAGTGATGGAGTGCCCACGATTTCTGGAGGCAGGCTGTTCCACTGGTTAATTGTCCTCACTTGTCAGGAAGTTTCTCCTTAATTCCAGGTTGCTTCTCTCCTTGATCAGTTTCCAACCATTGTTTCTCGTCCTGCCCTCTGATGCTTTGGTGAATAACATGACCCCCTCCTCTTCTTTGTGGCAGCCCTTCAGATACTGGAAGACTGCTATCATGTCTCCCCTATTTCTTCTTTTCTTTAGATTAGCCAAGTCCTGCAGCTGTTCTTTATATGTTTTAGCCTCCAGGCCTTGGATCATCTTAGTTGCTCTTCTCTGATTTTTTTCCAAACTCTCAACATCTTTTTTGTGACATGGTGACCAAATTGGCTGAGTATTTATTCCAAGTGTGGTCTTACTAGGGTTTTATAATACCTCCGGTGATCTTGATTCTATGCCTCTGTTTATACAACCCAGGATTGTATTGACTTTTTTGGCTGCTGCTGCACATTGCTGGCTCATAGTTAAGTGATCGTCCACTAGGACTCCCAGGTCCCTCTCACAGATGAATAGTTAAGTTAGGGTTAGGTTAGTTTTAATAAAGTTTTGGGTTTGGTTGCATTGAGGATCTGAAGTCTACTTGGGTTGTTCGGCGGCTTAGCTTTTTACTACATGTACACACAACCTTGTAAAAGCAGGTTGTGTGACCTGGGTCTCCTCCTTAAGCCAAATAAAGTAGCTTGGATGGTCAGTTGGTTACTGGGCTCTCAAATTAGGGCAGTTTAGGATTGAATGTGTTGTGTGAATGCAAGTTGTTGTATCCCTCTAGAGAAAATGGCAAATCTGCAAGGCAAATAACCCCCTTTGCCCACTTCAACAAACTGACAATTAGGGAGAGGAGAGTTACACACAACACACACACACACACCCCATCACCACCACCACCAGTATGTTGACTCATGGTTGAAGAAAACCTGCATTTGTGGTTTGAAACAAGACTGTTTTGACCCAGGACAAGAATGTTGTTGTGTGTTTCCTTTGCCCCCCTCCCCCCCAAGGTTTAAAAACCCTGAGGCAGAAACATTGGCAGTGTCTAAAGGGGCTTTATTGTTATGCGGTGGGGCACTATGCATACCCACACAAATGTGTGTGTGTGTTTGTGTACACGCATGCCCCCGGGGAGGACTCTGTGACCTCAAAAGCCGGGCGCTCGACAGTGGGAGAGCCTTGCGCTGCAGGGTTAACGTTGGCCTCGCTGGAGATGAATCACACCAAGGCTGTAGCCAACGCCGAAGGTTCCCGGTGACGAGTGTGGTGGTTTTATAGCTCATGACTCATCCCGGCTTGTCGACTGGCGCAGAGCGGGGCCGTGTTATTCCAGTAGATTGCAAAATCATAACAGGAATGTCGTGGCGAGTCCACTGCTCAACTATGCAAATCCCCAGGAAGCCATTTGAGCCGGAGAGCGTGAAGCACGCCACACGGGGATGGCCGAGCGATGAAGAGGCCTCGGGCACTGCAGGCAGAAGGGACACTGGTAGTGCTGAAGTCCCGGGGAGAACAGGCCTGGGAGGTGAGCGAGTCCCACGAACGAAAGGAGGCGAACAAACGTTTAGCTGGACAAAAAAAGTAAATCTCTCCACCCTACTTATTTTACCCCCGGAGGCAAAGGGGCACCTCTCCCCTGTCCTTTTCTGCCCCAGAGAAAGGGGATTCTAAAAAGGACTGGTTGACCCCCCCGTAATGGGGAGGTGGGTAGCTTCACGGGGTACGTGCGGGAACCTCTCCGGATGCGCCCGCTTCCTCTCGTCCCTAATTCACCCGTTCTTTGAGCAAGAGCTAAACAGACGGTGGTGGTGAGGGGGGCTGTAAAGGCACACAACCCCTCCCCAACTCCCTTGGCCAGCCAAGAGAGCTTGGAAGC